GAATGCACTGAGCTGTAGAGCTGGGATACTATCGATAGTAATATCGATAGTATCGATAGTTGAAAACTGCCGCCACTATCGATAGTTTTTGAAAACTATCGATGTCGGTTTTAGCGAAACTTCACAATTGGGGTGTTCACAGTTCGTTCCAAATAGTGTCTCAAAATGTAGACGTCTACATTTTAAGACGTTTTCTAACCGTAAAATCTGTGGTGTTGTTGTTTCCCATACAAAATTGGAAAACGACGCCGTCTACATTTTGTCACACTCAAAGGTATGTTTTTTACGCGTCTACATTTTGCAACCTCGCAGCAGGACTGCATTATGGCAATACTAATCACATTTTTTTTTATTTATTGGGCACGTTTTCTGTATTTGCATTTAATTTTAGCGCAATTTCTGATGAAAAGAAACAAATCAAGGAAAAGAAATAACAAATATTACGAATTGGTAATTAAGTTAAATAATTACAATTTTTCAGAAACAAAATCGAAAGGCGACATATAAAAAATGCATGCAAGGAAGAAATGTCTGGCAACACCAGCAAAGTTTTGAGACGATTTTGCGACGACTGCTAGAAAGGGGTGCTCACAGTTTGATGCTAAAGATGTCTCAAAATGTAGACGTCTAAATTTTCAGACACAATTTGGAACGAACTGTGAACACCCCAAATGTCTTCATTTTTTATGCAAGAAAATTCACAACAGTCGGCGAAAAAAAATTTAAGTCATTGGAATTTTTAGCAACTATAAGCTTATACTGAGTTATAGTAAAATTTAATAAGCTTTAAAACTGCTTACACAAAATTTTTGTAGAAACTCGAATTAAAAAGCTTGAAATTTTAATGATTTTGTATTTTTTTATGTTTTGTACAACTTTTATAAAAAATTAGTAGACAATAAGTAAACAAAAAATATACAAAACTGCTAAAAATGTTGTGGTGCTATTATTTTGACCAGTACTATATTCGTTGTCTTATAATCTGGTAAAATATTAATAATTTCCCTTGTTCGGATTTTGTTATGCGCCTCCGTATTTGATCTCAGTTGAACTTTTATAAGTATGAGTAGTCAATTTAAACGAATATCTTTTGAGTTTTGTTTGTTTTGTAGTATTAGAAATGTATTATCATGTACTGCTTTTTTTCGTTCGAAAATATAAATGTACTCCTTTCTCCGTTTCAAAATCTGGCAAACCTAACTGCACCTCAAAGATGCAGTCACGTGGAGTCGAAATATTAATGATTTTATTTGGTGAAATTTTGTTGTTTTAGAAAGAATAAAATTTAAAATTTGAAAAATTGATTTAAAACTAGGCGGGATTCCATTTTAACGAGAAGTATAACCATACTCAAAACTTTGCGAACATACACAAACATTACCTACCATGTTGTTTTGAAGCGATTCTCAAAAACATGTTTTCAATAATGGAAAAATTTTACTATGATTTTCTGAGCGATAAGTAATAACATATTGAAGCGTAAATATAGCCCATGCGTCATAACAGCAAGCGTTCTTTATTTTGATGAGGTCAATACTGGCGAATTAAAGAAAAATAAATAGATACTTTTGATATTTATCAGTGACGTAAATACGTATGTATAAACTTACGCGGTGACTTGATACTATGCATTTTATTCGTTATTTTATTTCAAAGTATCGTTTTAAAGCTTTTATTTTTTACAATTTCGTTTTTTTCTGTTCCATGTTTATTGTAAACGATTATCTTTGCTTAAATTGTTTTTTACATTTCCCGATTAAATATGTATATTCGACTTTTACACAGAACTTACCTAAATATTAAACACATTTTTTTTTTATTTTACTATTTATTTACACTCTATAATAATTTTTATTATTGTTTTTGTTGAAAATTTTTATTAAATAATTCATAGACTCAGACCAATCCCTAATCCACGTATCAAACACTCAGTAGACAGCAATATAAATAATATATAATTTGTCTTGATCATTTGCTTTTTATAGCAAAATCGAAAGCTATTGTGTTTATTTCATAGATTACGGAATAGATATGATGTAAAAGCAGAGAGACTCTTGGCAAAAAAGTTTCTCTGGACTTAAGGGCCAATTTCAAACGAATATTTAAACGGCACTAAAGTTTTATTTTGGATTGTTATTTAAATGCCATTTAACTTTCGTTGGGTATCAGATCAACTTTATTTAAATATGCCAAACAAGAGGCAAAACTGTTGTGTGCTCCTTGAAATTGTTGTTCCATTTGATTATTTTTTTACATTTTGTACTGAACAGCTGATTGTTTTTTGGCAAGATTCAAGGGGAATTTATACAAGGTGATGTTACTGGCGAATTTATCTTACAACAAATACATCATTTTGACATTCAGCAGTACCGCGGCGAAAATCTAAATTCCCCAGTAACAGCAGCAACACGTATTTAACAAGGTGGTGTTCTTGGTTGTTAGGTACAGACACAGGGTTGCATATCTCATATTTAATTAGCAAATATTGGCCATTTAAGTGCAGATTTATGCCTGGATTATAATGGAAGTAACGGAACGGAGTGAACTGTCACTTACTTAATTATCTATTGTATGGGTAATGAATTCAAACGTTTATAATGCACTTGAACGCAATGAAAAACGGAAGCACCTAAAATCAATAGATCCTTACGAATTCGCCGCGATTTGTTACGATTCGCCCCGTGTATTATAACCAAGGTATAATGCTGCGTTTTACCGAGTAATTTAAGTGAAAATTACTTTAATTTTCGAATTATCAATTTTAATTTGTTTTTAATTTTGATTTAAGTGACTCTTCACTTACTTATGGTTTACACCGGGCGCTGTAGTCAAGATAATTATGTCAGAATGATGTGTTTGTTGTAATTTGAATTCGCCGTGTTTACAACAAACACATAATTTTTACATAATTGTCTTGACAATATTGTCCAGCGTAAACCCTAATGTAACGTAATGTGATCCCGGGATCCCGGACTTTTTAAGGTCTCGAAAATCCCGGGATTCTTGGCAAGTAATCCCGGGCTTTTCAGGATTTGTAATTTGCATTGATGGCAATAATAGAAACTCCTTTTCTTGAACGGTATTGGCTTTATTTCTTTTTTTATTTAATAATTAATATTTTTTTATAAATTTCTAGCTGATATACATATAACACCGCGCGATAGTAAATTTTAAACACAAGTATTCGCGAAACCATGGGCCAGTAATTTAAAAATGGTTTAAAAAATTCAGATAAATGTGCTTAGAAAGGAAGTACATATGTGTATAAAATTAATGAGGAAATCCTGTAGAATTTAAACCGATTCCGAAAAAATTATATGTTAAGGGCTTATATTAACTCGATAACATCCTCGAGTTTCGTTCTTCTTACTTTGTCAGCTTAAAAATTACCTATTCGTCCTTGTGAATCCAAAAAATTTCAATTTTTTAAATTCTAAAGAAACTTCCTTTTGCATTTGTTACCTATATTTTTATTCTACATTGCATTAATTTTTTTTAACAATTTTTGGAATTAATCATATCTTTGAAATTACAAAGCCCTTCAAAATAAATCCTGCGGCCAGAGGGAAAAAATAAAAACGCCACCTTAAATAAAAGGTAGGTTTCAAACCCATTTATTATTATTTATTTCATGATAGGAGAGCTTCTCAAACAATATAGAAGCAATTTTTTCGATTCAAGTTGTTGAAAAGTAATGAATATCTAAATCCCGGGATCCCGGGATTGTGACAACGCCATCCCGAAAATCCCGAAATCGGAAAAAGCCGAAAAATTAACATCCCTAATATACACATACCACAATTTTGTGTATCTGCCCAGTAGAAATCGGTTGTATGCATTCGTGAAGAATGCTTGCTATATGAGTGAATTAGTTGAACAATTCATGCGTAGTCATGAATTCCCGCGAATAAATTCAAATTTTAGCGAACTGCAAGCGAATGTACGTTGTCGTGGTTTTAAGTACATTTCTTGATAAATTTGAAGTGGAATTTTTGTAATATTTTCAGTCTTGTACAAAAATTTTAGTGAACAGACGTGTTGTGCGATACTATTTTCAGCACAAACAGGCTTTTACAATTTAGGCATTTATTGTAAAATTGGTTAATTTTACATATTTTGAGGAAAATTATGGATTCTGATGTATTTGCAATTATAGCAGTAGAGTAAGCGGTGCAATGGCAATGGATTCACAAAGGTATGCGGAGCTGTCGGGCATAGTAACCATGGGCGCATCTATGTCAGTTTCTGGTTGAATTGTTGAACCACAAGCCAGAACTACTCCTATGCCTGAAGAACTGGTTCTCAATCCAGTTAATGCAATAACTGCTTCTTCCGAGCCGAGTTCTCGAATCGAATACTAACCTATTTCCCCATTCATTATCGAAGGTGAGACTTGAAAAAAGGATTCGTTTTCCAATCATTTACCAATTGTTAACAGTTTTGTTTTTGAAAAAAGGAAAGTATAATTGATTAACGTTTAAGTATAGTTACTTTCTATTTAAGATGTTTTTTAAGTATATAAAAGAAAAATACTTATTCTAATTATTAACTATTTATTTCTAAAATTGCTTGATCAAGTGTCTTTTTTGTAATACGGGTTTTGGCTTGCTGGAAAAAAGTAAATAAAATCCGCTCGAACTCTGCGTCGGTTGAACTCGGAAACAAAATTCTTATGGAAATATAGTTTGGCGCTCTATAGACTAGTATTAGACTTTGTTTTAGAACTAAATACATACTTTTGTTACGTTTTAAGTTTTATTTTTTGCTCGGAAAATAATCGTTACGTTTTAAGTTTTATTTTTTGCCTGGAATAAAATATTTACGTTTAAAGTTTTATTTTTGCTAGGAAAATAATGATTACCTTTTAA